TTTATTTGACTGTAACGACATAAGTAAAAACATGTCAATCCACGCATAATAACAATTCATACAAGTGATAAAATATTTATGTGATCAAACCACGAAATGTATGAAATGAATTACTTTGCAGTACGTTCACGATTCTTCGCATGCTGCTTTCCAGTGAAAAATTTGATAAGCTACGTGAAAATCTCACGCAATATCTCGCCACGAAACATGCGCTGCGCATTTTCACGATGCAGTCGCGAGCAATGTATTTCACGGTGTATTAGAAAGCGGCGGTTTGAAACGGACATGCAGTGAATAATGTGCGTATGTTATTTTCACGTGTGTGCACGCGCCATATCGTTGGTCTCTCTCTCTCTCTCTCTCTCTCGCATTAACTCGCATTAACTTGAGGTGCGTAAATGCACCTCGAGTTTCAATTATACCGTAACGCGACCAGTTGCATAACGCTGCGCGTTTTTTTCATCGCGAGTTGTACTTGATATTTCTTCTCTAAGCATTCTGTGGTCAACTCGTAAAATTCTTTCTTCTGATTGATCAACGAAGCATTTGCAGCATTAAATGGATCGTATCTGAATCCTGTAATTGAGTCGTTTCGACATTCCTGTTTCCAAAAAACGCCGACAAATTAGCAGAAGATTTATTTTGAGGTCAGCGAATACCTCGTTAGAACATTTGATCTCAAATCACCGATGTAATTACCACGTAATGAATCATGCTTCTCTCTCTCGTGAAATAAAAGAACTTTCGTTCTCTTGATTGAAAGATTGCAGATCTGTGCGTTTTTTCTGGCGAAGTATGATTATTAATTAATCCATCGTTGCACACAGAGAAAAAAGTCATATCAGTAATTATAAACCTCAACTATATATTATATATTCTATATAGAACGATTCTAATAAGAACACTAAATGAGTTATATGAATTGAGAAAGTATAGTAATATTAACCAACTACAAATGATTAATATGTTTTCTTAGTTTATTTTATTTATTTATTGTTCTTATTAAAACTTTATAATACATAGTTATACATTTTTATATGTATAGATAACTTCTAATTGAATTTCAAGATTACCAAAGGAATGTTGGTACAGAACTAAAAATTGTATTGTTGAAATGAATCTCTCATTTATTTTTCAAAGTTCGAACTCCATGCTGCGCCTTTTATTATATGCTGCAATGAATAGTTTTCTTCTTAGGAGAAATCAAACTCCGCTATATTCCTTTAGTGACAAAGTCTGCTTATGACTGAGCGACTTTAGTGAAAAGGTTTTAATTAGATTTATTAAATAAAGTAACATAATAATTATAAAATTATAATGTTGACAATTAATGTTTATAATAATTATATTTTCCTAATTTAGACAAACATTTTTTTTAAATAGAGCACACTATAACATAGTAAATAATTAATCATTGTTAAGGTAATTTTAATAAATATATTTGTATATTTGTATATTTTTATTAATATATTTATTAAAGTTACTACTAATATATTTATTATAAAGTTATCTTAACAATTATTAAGATTAATTATTTACTATGATATAGTGTGTTCTATTTAAAAAAAAGTGTTTGTCTAAACTAGGAAAATATAATTGTTATGTCTTAATTTTATGAAGTCTAAGTAATTATAATATTTAATATAGTTGAGGTGCTATTTCGCTGTGAATTAATAGTATACAAATATTGTTGCAGTAACTATATTTTTACAGTGCAATGTTGAGTACTAGATTAGTAACTATTACTCTATAAAACTTACAAATACTATAATTGCCAATGTTCCAAAAAAATAGTTGTCACATCTATTTTTTTTCTCTCAGTGTGGAATTTACAGCTCATCGGAACGGGAATAACCGGCGAGATATGCTGGCAGCGTTGTGCTAATAACATTACGCGTCTCGCGTGTAAGTTTATCGAAAGAGCAACGTTTTTATATCTTTCTCAACGATTTAGTGCAATTTGTTGTCTTACATGCGCCCGTCGTATTTAACCGCTTGCATTATTTATACATTCGCGAAATTAGATCGAAGACGTCAATCGCTACATCTGCTGTACGTCAAGTTTTGACTGTTGAAGCTACACAATGAAGTTCCTGGTGAAATACTACGACTTCCTGAACGTCAAGTTCTCCACGGTGAGATTTTAAAGCAGTACGCGATATTTTCCTTATCACAACGTCCTGAATGAGAAGTTTTTATCATGAGACCATGAGATTTAATTAGTGATTGATTTTTTTAGCAGTGTTTAATATCACGAAACGTCATTTTTCTTCTCGATTTTTCGTCTCTGAGAGCTCTATTATCAAATACACTGACGAAAGGAGAGATTGATAATTCGCCTTGGGTTTAAGATGCGGAGATTGACGGCCACGGTATTATCGATGTATAATTGCGTGCGCGAGAGCGCCTTATCACGCGCCCGATAATAGACCGCTCGCGAAATCCGACGACCTTTCAGATATGTGCATGAAAGAATGGCATTATGCGCGCGATCCGCGGTTTGCAGTAGCCGCGACGTAGCAATGCATCTGCCGCGGCGATAGCGCGTTATCATGCCATTTATCATGCGCTCTCGCTGGCCTCTCCCTTTGCTCTCATTCGTTGCCACGATAATTGGATTTCTCTGAAACGTATCGCGCGATTAGAAAAATTCGACGACCTTTTTCGCGACGTTATCGGGATGCCCTCGTGAAACACGTCGATATTTCTCTCCCGGGGAGAAACATTTGTGATTATTCAAGGATTCGTATAAGGTGAAGGACCACCCATATTGACGTTTAACCTTTAAGTGGGTAGATGGTATGATTATATATATAACACTCCAGATAGTTTTCTTTAAAAATTTATTATGGAAAAGGAAAATAAAACGCACTTCTCAGATAGAAGTTTTAGGGGGTTCATTATTTTTACATTCCTCTATTTCATATAAGGATATAACTAATGTAAATTTGACTATAACATAATAAATAAACATAAAATAACAATAAGGGCTACGAACCAAAATATATTTGAATATTGAACAAACGTTTCGACCTTTTTGTCAGGCCATCCTCAGTGTTTACAATGTTTAAAGTGGAAAGCAAAAATTAATTTTCAGTAACAGTTACAATTTTAAGTTCATAGTCATTTTCACTATCTTCGAATTACAAAAATCAGCGTAACTATGAATTTAAAATTGTGACTGTTACTGAAAATTAATTTTTGCTTTCCACTTTAAACATTGTAAACACTGAGGATGGCCTGATAAAAAGGTCGAAATGTTTGTTCAATATTCAAATATATCATATCTTGGCTCATAGTCCTTATTGTTATTTTATGTTTATTTATTATTATTGAACCATTATAATATTATTTTTATATAACATAATATATTAGTAAAAAAGTATAAAATATAAATAATTATAAAATATATTTATATATAAAAAATAGGTATTAAATATAATTATAAAATTAAAAATTTCTTTGATGTTTTGAGCATCTCAACTTGTGTATCTTTGAACTACCTATCTATTTAAAGGTTAAACTCTCATCGGAAAGCAAACAAGAATACGCTTAAGGCTTATTAATTTCCGCCACAATATCCGTATTAGAAATGTTGAAACACACATCTCCAATGAGACTTCAAATACTCTTCGAATCGTCAGCGTAATACGAAACGATAAGAAACGATTGTCGTTACAAAACGCATATTATACCGAATGCCATTGCCTCGGTTAGACGTGCGAAGAATCGCAAATCACTTTTGCACGTGTCGTCGACAACAAGAACGTCAAAGATTTATTTATCGATGTCGCGCGTGTACTTTTGTTGAGTAAGAACTCGGAAGTTCATTAGCTTGCAACTATATCGGTGTCAGCGGTGTGTTCGATGCCGCTTTCCGCTGACGTTTTC